ACGACGCTCCTCTCATTTGTCAAGTTGAAACTCCAAAAAACGAAAGCAAAAGATTATTTTAAATACTTGGCATGAAATTTGGAAAAATTTGGAAAGTGAAGTTCCTCGCTTCGATTAATGAACCTCGCGAAGCTGAAATTTCGCGAGAATTAAAAAATTGTGCAAGACACTCCACGCTGTTTTAATCCATTTTCTCTGACACGACTATTGAATTTATTTGAAATTATGAAATTTCCCCGAAATTTCCCACTCGATGGTGTTGCGTGAGAACGATTATATTTCGAGTGGCCGGGTATTTAATTCCATCTGCCCGAAAGCACGCGTTCCCGAGGCACATAATTTACGAGCGTAACGCGTGTCACGATAAAAGTCGCGGCTGTCAATTAGCGCATGCGCGTTGGCTGGCAGAGTCAATTTTAGCGGGCCGCGTTTCCGATTTCATTTTCGGAGGAAGTTGTTCGAGAAGTCATTATTTTAACCTAGACACCTTCCACCAGCTATTGCCGCTTCTCGTTCTCGTTACCGCGATAAGTTGCTCTACTTGATCAAACTCGAAGGACCATTCGTTTAAACGCAAACTTTAGACACGCGTGAGGTATGCCCGCGAAATCGTTCGTATTTCGATGTTACCTTATATGGATGGGTGGAATTATTCGTTGGATCACGTCAAAACTGAATCAGCCTAAGAATACTTATACCACTGAGACTACCTTCCTCCCAATTGAAAATAGCAACGTGTACAGTTGGTCACGTGAGAAAATATTCGAAATATATACCTGAGAAATAGTTATTATTTCGCTGCACGAAAAGTACAGTTTGCTTAGAAAATAATTACACTTTCAGCATCGAGTTGTGAGATACTTCTGCGACCGACTGTACTACCCTCTATTCCAGTACACATTTTACTAACTGAGAAATTAGTCACCTCCATATAATCTTAATCATTCCAAACTTTAAGTGGTCGAAAACTCACAATTCTCGTCCCAATTTTTACCATAGCTAGCTAATAAGAGATGCGAAACGTTGCATAGCTTTCCCTAAAATGTAAACCTAAATCACGATTCCCGAAAATTCGCAAAGACAACGACCCCGGAAGGTTGCCTTTCGTCACCATATCGTCCCTCTCTACCGAATCGTTAATAATTCGAAAACTAGCCTCGTCTAGATTCCTCGAGCTCTATTCTACGCGCACCATGACCTGACCCGCTACCTCTAGAGTCCTTCGAGTCTGTTTGCTGTTCCTGCGAGTGCAGCGCGCGTCTGCCTCGCAGCAGGGGTCTCGGAAATCTCAAGAAAACTGGGCTCGTTCGCTGGAAAGATAGCAGAGACGCGTTCGTCCAGCTCCGACTACGTCGAGAGCTGTGAGACGCGTGGCGACGCGTATCCGGGCAAGGATTCAGCGTCCGATCTCTGCAAAGGTCTAAGAGACTAGGACGTCTGGTCCGATGGCGCGTTCTCTAACCTGCTGAAGATATCCTTGAGCTCGTGCTCAGACACGAATTGGCCAAGGTTCGCCACGAACAGGGTGGAACAGGGCGCGTTGCTCACTGCTATGTTCGGCTGGGACGAGGGTGAACCAACCGGCGATGCCAGTGCCGGCGACGGAAGGAAATGGGGCAGCGTCGCGTGTATCGACGTCAGCGTTGTTGGATGCGGCAGAGACATGGGCGCCTGGAAAAGAAAAATACAGATTTTTCAGCGTTATTCTCGGATCGAGATTCCTCGATACTGATCCGTAATGCCTTCGTCGATTGACACTTTCGCAAATAAAGTGAAATATTTCTTCAACGTACAATTTTTCATAATTAAATCACAGTGCGAGAGGTTTATCTTAGTATTCTTGCAAATTTAACGAATTAAATTGAAATTAAAATGATATAAATTCCGAAATTCGCTATTTTGATTTATGGATCTCCTATTTAGTAACATCTGCGATTATTTTATTGTCGTTATTTTGGAAGAAACCGGGATGAAATATTCAAGTGCCATTATTTGCTGCGAAAGCGTCGAGGATGATTTTATTATTAGAAGGATATGAAAATTCTTTGGAAATTGTGAAATTTGATTAGATTACAGGCGAAGTACTATTATTTCGCACGACGATTTCCCGCCTCAGATCTCCGAATAGCGTTCGAGTCAAATTTGGGTCACGTCTAAATCAATTAGGAAAGGTTAATCAAAGTTAACACTCTCAAGAATGTAAGAATAACCGTGTAACTCGATTTTGCCGAAGCTTCGAATCTTCAATTTCCCCATTTTCATATCCTCAGCAATAATAGAAACATTCTTAACCATTAACTAATTGAAATGTCCACAAAAATAAACCAAATATATCTTCGTTTCTTCTTCAAACTCTCAAAATTCTCCACGAAAATTAATCAAATAAATCTTTCATCCCTTTCGCATCTCAAACGTAAATCCTTTTACGAGAAAAATTCGTGTCAACAACATCGTGCAAACAGTGTGACACACTGTAGTAAGAGGAAAATTGCAAGATTATACCGGTAAAATTAAAAAATAATTCAACGATTTACGCGATATTTACTTTACGCTTATTGGAGTTACGGAGCGTGGTGGCGCTAGTGAGTTAACGGAAGGCTGCCTTAAAACGCGTACTCGTGAAAGGGGTTAAACTCCCATATACTCACGCGTATATGAGTTTCTCGTCTGATTCTGAACTATCTACTCGTGAAAACGTTCAGAGAAACTGAATCAAATAAATTTCTTCTCTGAAATTCCCCTGTTTGATGCCATCGAAGAAAAATCCGTGACTCGTTAACGAAATATTCTTATCCAAGTGACATCAAGATCGCCTAATTCTCCGCGGTTAACGCAGAATTCAGATTTAATCGACGAAACAACGCGAGGCCTGTACCACTGAAACTAGAGTCCATGACCGAGTTACGGAGCGTGGATTAATTAACGCAAGAACCGTGTTAAATACGAATGCAGCATAATTTGCGGCAACATTACAAGGAGCAGCTTGCGATTAACGATCGAACAACGAGAAATAATCTCGGCCGTGGAACTTCTTATTCGGAAACGGCCGAGTGCATGGCCGGTTTATAATTTCGAGACTAATTATCGTGCGCTCGTGCACACGTTGTGCATTAGAGCGTGCATTAACGTGTACAATTAATCGAACACTCGTTTATGCTAGACAGGAAGGAGCTTAATTATCACCAACGATTTTATTCTTCTTCAATTATCATTATTGAATATTAAACGATATCGCGACTCGATTTTTCAGAAATTAACGCGGTCCCGCTAATTATTTTTTCAATTTCAGTTCGTTTAATTTCTAAGCCGGGAATTATAAGTTAAGCGACGGTAGCGTTAATTTAAACGCGGATTTATCCAACATCGGTGTTTTAATTTTCATACGTTATTAGCATATTTTTCAACGCGTAATTTAAATTCACGATACGCTGATTTCATCTGGAGGATTATCACTCTGTTATTAAAGCACGTACTTTAATAATAGCCGACCAGCGTTCGCGACATTGCGAGCGGAGAAACGACGGAGATAGTATCCTCGATTCGTTAAAAACTATAGATCTTTGATTATTATAGTAATTTTACTCCGTTATTCTCGCAAACCGTAATTGTACGTATGTCTGAAATTCAAATTATCCGAGCTACGTTCTAATTGATTATTATAAATGTGTATTAACAGAGCAACGAGAAGTACGCGATATTTCAATGAGAGAACGGCAGAACGAGAATTATTCTTCACCGTGTCGCGCAATCGATCCGTAATTTCACGTTATAACATATTGCTGTGTTACCGTAATGCCCGTGTAATTACGTATTGCGCTACTTGTCTCGGAAATCCTGTATTGCACGGTTTCTGCGTTTTCTTTCATCGGGTATTGCAAAATCGACGGCTCGGCCTGCCGTTTTTCTTTTTCTTCTCGCGCCAAAAAATATGCATCCAAGTCTGAAATGATTATTCACGGCCGAAAAATATCCCGATATCGAAGTCGCGGAAAGTATCCTTTTTCGCAATTCGAGCAACCTCAACCTCGGACACGATTTTTGCAGAAATATTCGCCACGCGAAAATGACACTCGACGAAGGAAAAATTATTCAGACTCGTCCAACGCGAAATTATTTCCCTCGTACATAACGACGAATAGTTTCCACGTCGAATAGGAGTTTACGTAAATATTCAAATTTAAATACCTCTTTCACGGTTTCTCGCGAAAATCGACTCTCGAGGAGGGAAAAGTTGCGTTGCGAGAAATACAACGCGATTGCGCGAAAGTATTTTTATTCGCGAATAATTTTAAATAGACTCAGTTTTCGCGTAAATTCGCAAAATCCGATTTCTAAGAAAATTTCTCAACGGACGCTCGTCGAGGTTCAAGTTCCGTTTTCATTCGCGGAAAATAATCCGTGGGAACGTCTTTTTTCCCGTGCGAATTTTCCCGACAGATTTGTTCGTTTATTTATTCGTTAATTTTTCTCCAACGATGTCGCGAACAGCAGCGGAATTAGGGAAATCTCGAGTCACTATGGAAACCCTTCTGAAAGCAGAATGCAAAGTTGGCGAGTGAAATATTCTCTATTTAGCCGGGCTTCCGCCTCATTATCACGTCAAGTGGATTCCCTGGAACATTTTTATTTCCGCGCAGGAAAATAGTGGTATTTACAAGCGGCTGAAATGGCCGTTTCAGGGAAAAACTCGAAGCTTCTTTCCCGTATTAAGGAATCGAATAAACTGTCGATATTTGTTCTTTTAAAATTGCCGTCTGTAAACCGAACATTAACTTGATCCCTTATTAATTCCACGAAAAGATGAGCAGATTTGAACCGCTGTCTCTTTAAAAATAATACATCTTTTCTCTGTCCTATCGCGTTTTCAGATTCTTTAATTCAGATTGATTTTACTGGAATTCAATTTTAAGCAACACTATAATTTCGAACGTATCCAAGGTAGCTTCAAAATGGTAGATCTCGGTAAGAAAAAATGGCACGATTACGAATCAAATTTAATTTTAGAAGGTAAGATTTGTACTCTAAGACCCAGTTGATAAAAATATTGGAAAAACCTATCATTTTTATTTATTTATTTTCCTCAGTCTAACATGATAGACAATTTTCCTGATTGTTGTATAAAAATATGTAAGCACTCTTTCTATTCTCGAAAAATAAAATATAATCTGGGCCATTATTTCCTCTCTGCCATTTTTCACAAAAACCGACAAAATTCTTCAGAAAAATTGGAAATTGCGGATAGTATCTTGACGTGTTATTAAAAAAGAGATACATTCGATTCGCATAAATTGCGTTAGCTTCAAAAACTCTGAAAATTGTAGAAAGTACCATCGTATTGTCCTATTATTGCGAAATGCTTGGAAATAGGATGATTCGATGATGATTTAATCGAGAAACTTTTTTCCACGCAATCATTTCGCGATTGGTCGACCGAGTGATGCCAGATACGCAAATGAGCACGTTCCACGGTGTCTGTGTGTGTGTTTCCGTGTGACAATAACGGCCCACTTTCGATGCTAGAGATAAAGCTTCCATTAGGCAAAGAAATACGATGGTGACCCAAGATATACACGTGTTTAGTACATTAAGCTATTTCTTTTATATCTCCGCGTGTATTATAAAATGGCGCACGCTTTCCATCAGCGAATGCTTTAATTTTTAACTATTTTTAGGCCGAGGTTCCCTGTTAGCTGCTACACGAAGGTGGCCTAAGTCGTGCACGTTCCACTTTGGAATATTACAAATTTCAGAAGGTTTTAGATACGTTGTAAATTGGAAAAAATTAATCAATATTAAGCCACGAATTTTTCGATCCCTTGTCACCTCGTTAAAAATTGCTATACCTTATTTTAACGAACGCAACGCGAAATTAGCGGAATTAATGGAATTATTTCTTCGCAATTTTCGACTTGGGTCACTTTCACGATGGACGTCTCACTTTTCGAGTTAAATTAATTCTATTCGAATCGAGGACCTCGGTACTAAAATTTAGAAAAATTTCGAATAAAAGATAAAACTTCAGCTTCCTCTGTGTAACTTTATTTATCGTTAAAATTTCGCGTTATTTGATTGGAACATCGCGTTATTCCGATGGCTCCAGGTAAAACTGGAACTCGACTGCAAGCACGACAGCCGAAGTAGTCCCTCATCGATCAAGACACTCCGTGGTTGTTGACGCACCTCGACACGCGGAATCAGCCTATTCTCAAGTCGAAAAACGAGGAAAAAGGAAGAAATAAAACCGAAAGAAAGATTGTCACGACGCGACAATGGCTGTGGAAAACAATTGTTTCTCGATTAAAATGTTTTCAGCGACCTTTAATTTATTTCGACACCGGAATACAGCAGCCTCGCTTCCAATTTCTCTCTTCCTTTTCAATTTTTAGTTTTATTTCACGGCTGGGAAAAAAATTTCCCCACCGAACTGGCTTTTTTCTTGTCTATTTTTCATTTTATCAGCCCAACATTTCTCGTTCCACGGCATTTTTACGCGTTGTCACACGACAGCGAAGGAAAGTGCTCGATACGGTTTGGCGATGGTGCGTGATAGGTACCCGCGTGAACCTGGCACAGAACTAGGCGATATTAAAAATCAATAGCTGCTGGCTGTTTCCCCAATTCGTACCCGGTTGTACCAGCATCGTTCTCGCTGTTTGTCGGGAAACTTGGCGGACACGGTACGAGCCTGGTCTGAAAATTTCACGATATGCGAGCGAGAGGACGGAGGAGCGCGAGGGAAAAAGGGCGGAGGAAAAAAGGGAAGAAACAATTGCTTCTTATTTACGGCCGGGTTTAATAGTCGCGATAATTAACTCGCGGGTGTAATTAACTTCCGCGGGGTTGGAAAGTTTTCGGGTCTCGAAATCGATATCGTCACGCTCGCGGTCGAATAGCAGGAACGGTTTGCCGAGGTCTCTACGGTGTGAAAAAGAAGAAAAGAAATTTGAGCCTCTTGGATGGGATTTTCCAACAGTTCTCTTCGATGGGTCTGTGCATTATTAAGTAGACAATTCAGTTTCGGGAAATTTTTTCACCCCTTCGACGAGTTTACGCGAATTACAGGGTAATTTACTCGAATAACGTTATCTCGGCTGTGCCGTGACTCTCGCGTGCTCTTTTCGCTCCGGTCCTATCGATGATCGCTTAATTGCATGTTATATTAATAGTTAATGATCGACAATTTGTATATCAATAATTGGGGAAAATTTTAAGGAAGGAAAATTAATTATTTACGCGATATTCCGACTTTATAAACGTCATTATCAATGTTCGTTACGTTGGCTGTTAAATCAATAATTAAGGATTAAAGAAAATTCAAGGAGAGGAAAATTGATTATTCACGCGATATTCTGATTTCATAAACGTCATTATCAATGATCATTGCATTGGCTGTTATACTGATAATTAATAATTAAAGGAAATTTAAAGAAGGAAAATTAATTATTCATACGATATTTTGATTTTACAAAAATCATCGGCACTGATCGTTGCATTGGTTACGACATTAATAATTAATAATTAAACAAAATTAATTATTCACGCGATACTTTGATTTCATAAATATCACTAGCATTAATCGTTGCATTGGGTATTATATTGCTAATTAATAATTCAAGAAAATTAATTATTCACGCGATATTTTGATTTTGTAAATATCAATAGTATCGATCGTTACATTGGCTGTTACAACGATAATTAATAGTTAAGGAAAATTTGAAGAATGGAAATTAATTATTCGCGATAATTTAATTTTATAACCGAATATCGCGATAGAAATTAGATGGACCGATTTTACTCTCGACTGGAATAAAGGGTTGGTTTAACCCCTTGCAAACGACACAACGATGTTCGACACTTATCACGGAACAAAATTTCCGCAAAATTCCAAAATTTCGTACAACCTTATCGCGAATGCAATAAATACACACCGATTACCCAAAACTAAATACTTTCCCAACGCGCAATTTTTCGCATGTAAATTCTAACGGCAGAGGGTTGAAACATGCTTGTTCCCAAATTTCATCCATTTTTATACCACACTCTGCACTTCACATTTCATCGACATGAAATAAAAAAAAAAAAAAAAACCACTATCCCCGAGCCAATTCACCGGAATGCCAATACCAAACCATAATCACTACACGTCCCTACATGTTCCTCGCTTCAAACAATTTACGACACCACAACGAGGAACCAAACGATACCCGTGTATCGACCATTGAAAAATGTCCGTGCAGTCGAATTGAAATAAGCAATTAACACACACAAACTACACAGAAAATAAAGAAAAAAAGAAAAAAAATATAAAAGAAAAAGGAAAAACTCTACGTGCAGTGATAGACAACGCACTTCCGCCGGAAGGAAGCAAATCTGCTCGACGGTATTCGAACAGTCGAATTGAAAGCCCGGTTCGAGTATATGTCCTCGAGCAAAGAATGTGCGAGGCTGAAGAGGAACCGTATTCGAACACGTTACCCCGTTGTTCGAAGCAGATCGAGCCATGAACGTCGGGTCCCGGCGTTCTTCTCTACGTGCGTGTCTACCTGCTAGATGTATCGTATAGTAATCGAGTATAACGATCATGTATCACTAACGTGCATCGGGGCGCTCGTCGGCGGCTCCAGAGCTTTGTCTGCAGATAGTCAAAGATAGGAACGTACGGGGACCTGAGGATGTAACGCCGGATGCACCAGCGTCGCGTGTTGCAGCGTGCCGGGTAATTCGCCAGCGGTCGAGTATGCCAGTGGATGGTGCCACAATTCAGGACCACCAGGGAAGAATGGGCTCCCTAGGTCTGCAATAGAACAAACGGTTACAGGTGATGTCTTACGGGCTAACGATCGGTTTTGTCTCGAATGATAGATGTAGCTTGGTTATTCGTGTATCGTACAAATAGACATACTTTCTTCCATTCTCAGTGCATGCTTCTTTCGTTTCTCTATTTTCTTTTTACCTTTTTCTCACCTGGCGTAGGAACTTCGTATCGTGTATGATAAAACTGAACAATACTCTATTCGTTATACTTCTTTTTGCTTTATGACATAGTGTAGGAACTTGTATCGTGTACTTTTTGGAATATAATTTAATTTTCTGTTTTAACCCTTTGCACTCGGCGATTTTTTCGTGACAGAAAAACAGTAATTCGAAGACTGTCTGCCATAAAGTCGACGATATTATTAAAACGGTAAATAAGAAAACATATTATTAGACATTTCATGTATCGCTGGGTAATTTGAAATTTCATGTATATTAATTAATATCGACCTATAGAATCTGATTAAATGGCGATTGAGAGTCGTTTCTCGAGTGCAAAGGCTTAAATTAAAGGTTAGATTGTTAAATGGATCATTTGAGTATAAAAACTGATTTATTTTATATAGAAGAACAGTCATCCGAATTTTTATGTATCAAGGATATATTAATCGTGGATAATAAAGAGAAAAAGAATTAGGAAAATTTATTTTCTGAGCTCCGATAAAAATGTTACATCTGCACTCTGTTTAATATTATGCAAATTAATGGGAAAATTTGCGTGAGAAAATCTAATATCAGATTAGATTGCTGAATGCATTCATGGAAACTGAAATTAATAAATTCGACAGATATACCTTATGATTTGATCGGAATTTGAAAAAATTCGGAGGAAGTGATGGATAATTAAGTAGTATAGTTATGTCTTTTATGGTCGTTCGTGATAGCAAAAGCGATTTCTCTCAGTGCGTAATTTATTCTCGAGTAAAGTGGTTTTCACGTTTCTATTGATCTGTTTTTATCGTTTTAATAGAGGCCTACGCTGACTAAGAGTGGAATATGCTTGTTCTGAATACTGAACAAATTAAGTTCAAGGTGTGTTCCGACTAAACAGATCAATCATGCTGCTGCGATAGGATATACCTGTAATACGCTAATTTTACACACATTCCAATGATCCTAAAATAATTTCGTCACTTCAAACGTTCGATTTATTAACCCAATTAATTGCACTAATTAAACGATATTATCAATTGTTCCAATAAATCCAAAGGTATCGAGCAATTCTTCGAAACGTCTGTGAATTTCAGAAATCTTTTGTCTCGTAAATTTTCAATTCCTCTGACAGACACGTTATTCCACAATCGTGTCAACGAATAATGGAACGGAAAGTGATGAGTTACCATTAACCATTACCGCGAAACAATTGTAGCGAATCGAAACATTCTTGTACACACACACGTACGTAATCGACAACGCGACACAATACGATCGAGTATGTAGTGGAGTATGATCGATTATGACTGCGTTTCGATTAAAAAAGAAAAGAAAGGAAAATAAACAGAAGAAATTGCATTGACCACTTTACTCGATGAAATCTTATACTCGAATATATCGATTATGTTCCTCGCTGTCATTATATCTATTTTTTTTGTCTTATTTTATCGTAAGTTCCTACACCACTGTGAATAGCAAGATTATTTATAGAAAAACTATTTAATGACACGGTACAGTCATCGAACATAATGACAGAAGGGAAAAAAGTATGAATATCTTAGAATTACGAGACGGAAAATATTTTAAAAAGAGTGATTAGGTATATATCGAATGCCACTCGTCAAGTTCTGTTCAATGTCTTCGAAGAATGGCATTATACAGAGTGTTCTATTTATCTGCATCGCTTTCAAACACGAAAAACGTGTTAACCCTTTGCACTCGAGAGGTGAGCTTCAGTCACCATTTCATAAAATTTGGAAAATCGATATTAACCCATTTGCATCCAAACACGGAATATTCCGCGAGCCACGACTGTCACCTATCACCGAGCGCGGAATATTCCGCGAGCTACGACTGTCACCTATCACCGAGCGCGGAATATTCCGCGAGTTATGACTGTCACCTATCACCGAGCGCAGAATAATCCGCGAGCTGACTTTCTCCATTATCAATTGCTGAATATTCTTCATATGCCACAGATCACGTTTAATCCCTTTTGTGAGCATTTCATCTACATCGGTTCATTATATTCTTAACAAGTTTTACTTTTGTTGTGAAAATCCTTTTAACTGCCATTATGAGTAGATGCTGATACGCACGCGGTGATACGGGCTAGTCGTCAGTTGAATGTCGTTGATGCCTGAACACGGCACCTTAAGTAGAGCCATGATGCAAATGGGTTAATTAATATATCAAATTTAATGCAATGTAACAGTGTGCGAGATATTGAAATAAAATAATTCTACAATTTTATTATTATACAATTCTTTATTTACTGCTCAAAAAAGTATCGTTAGCTTTTTAGTAAAGAATCTTTGAATTTCTACTCTTCTCTAGCCAAAAGTCGTCGAGTGCAAAGGGTTAAATAAATACAGTACGAAAATCAAAGTTTCGACAATTGGAATTTTTATGCAAATTTTTTTCTTAAAGAATATCACGTTATTAATATGATACTTATATTTAAGAATCGAAAATTATCGAGGTATATTTCTAATTATTGTACTTTTGATTTACTTAACATGAAGTAGCTGAGATTTGTGAATCACCCTGTATATTTCATATTAAATATTCGAAGACGCAATATCTGCAACGATTTCAGCTTTTAAATTTTCGAAGGTTTTGACAGCGCCATTTTGTTGGATGCTTATCAAAGTTTCGTGCGCGTGGATGCGATGCGAAAATCACAAAAAACGATTCATCTTACTCCCATTTTGCGAAAATACTTCGTTTACGTGTCTTTGTTGGTACATTTTAAGTTCCACATTTCGCTAAAAATATTTTTCCATAAGCATAAGTTTTATTCTTTTATGACGAAGAAACTAAAAAATATCAAATTTTCTTTTCTATCACTGATTTTTTAAAAATCCCGAATGCTATATGATAGAATATTTGCAGAAACTTTCCAGGACTAAACTAGCCACTCACCCTAATACCTCCCCAATCTTCTCTCAGACATTTCTCCTTGAAAAACCACCTAACATCGGTTCCATCATCTGACGTCGCAACTTCCACGAATAATCCGTAACACTAATTCCTCGAATCCCCATTGACTCTATTTTAAATCCTGTTTTCCAATTGTATCAAAAAATACAATTGTATCCCCTACAACTTGGGGGATCCTATATTATTACGTCACAGGAAATTCCGAACCCTGCTTTCCAATTAAATACAGAAACACAGCAGAATCCCCTATATCTCTAGGGATCCTGTGTCATAGAAATTTCACGTCACACGAAATCCCAAATTCTGTTTTCCAATTAGATACAAAAATACAATAGGATTCTCTATAATTTCAAAGATTCTATACTATAGAAATTTCGCGTCATATAAAATTCCAAATTCAGCTTTCCGATAAAATACAAAAATACACGAAGGTTCTCTAAATCTCTAGAGATCCTGCGTCATAGAAATTTTACGTCACGCGAAATTGCAAACCCAATTTTCCAATTAAACACAAAAACACAGTAGGACCCTCTATATTTCTAGAGATCCTACATTATACAAATTTTACGTCACAAGAAATCTCAAACCCAATTTTCCAATTAACTATAGAAATTCGAAGATTAAAAATTCAACGTTGCAGAAATTTCGTGTTCTGCAAAAATTCTAAAGAAAAGAACAGACAACTCTCTTCAGAGCTACATCAGAAAATAATACGTGTGTCGTTTCATCGGAAAGCCATGAGACAGGAAACAACAAACTGCGGTATAAAACTTACGCGAAGACTCTGCGCAAGAAAAGAGGAAAGAAAAATGAAGAAATGCAAAGGTTCTCGAACGACACGTTTGACTCGCAGGGCGAGTTGATGGTTCGCCACGGAATCATTCGGTTCCCCTTTGAGCGCTCTTCTTCTCCCTAGGCGGACCGGAAGTGCTCGACACTTGCACGCGGCATTGTGCTCGCGATGAGGCCGAGGAGGCGGCCGTCTAGCCGTCCCGTGGCAAAATCAATGCAAATCGGCGCAAAGCGGCTTCCACGGAGCCATTTGTTCCTCGTGACCGGCGATACGTCACGAACCAGCAATTATTCCACAAAGATTGCACGGAGTGGCAACGGTTGCGCAACAACCGCGCTCTTTTCGAACAACGTTGCAGAAATGCCGGGTCGCGAGCAGGATATCTACCTTGCTGCGACGATGCAGCATCCAACTTCGCAATTATTCGCTTTCTTTCAGGTAAAATGCCACGTTGGCGGAAAAATAGGGAAGGAACAAGATCGATCAAGAATTTTGCGAAACGCCATTTTTAGACGATTTAACACCAGAGCTACCAAGCCACTCAGAATTTTGCCATTAACTATTCTTATATACCAAGTTCATGTGTCGTCGCATGTGAGCTATATGAGTCGCTTAGAAGCCAATGTGGCTGGGTACATTTTTTGATATTTGACAAATTCTAATAGATCATTAATTTCTCCATAGTTTTAATAGAAAAATGTAAATAATCTCTGAAATAATTTTATATTCCGAAGAAATTGTCTAGAAGAAGGTCGACGAGAATTCTTTGCAAAAAGAAACGATCGTGCACCGTCATAAAAAAACAGAGCATCGATTTACGAGGTTACTAAGTATCATATACTACACATACGTTCGCCTAACCGAACGCAAGTATTAAAAATTTATTATCGTCCTCGAGATTTCCGCCATTACGGCAATAATAGTGCTATCTCGTTTTATCTGACGAAAAGATAAGAAATATCATTTGCGATTCTTCCGTACACGAGCAAACGCTAGTCCCTAGGATAATCTAGTCCTTAGACGTTCGTCTAATTTCCTCTAAATTCCCTTCCTATTAACATCCATTAAATCTCGCGGTTGAACGTTAACGA